CCTGCGTATTCATCCTACCTTGCAAAGTATTGAAGTCAAGCATTGTACCTTTTCCAAACAATGTCACTTGCAACGGTTGCGCTCTACTTTGACTGGACGAAAAGGCATCAAACATTGTGATTTATTCAACAACCGAGTCTCTTTTACAAAAAAGGAAGAAGGAGAAGGAAAGATTGACTACGAACAAGAATACGAACCGTGCAGTTGCAGTCAATCTTGGAGATCTTCTTGTGTACCATTCAAAAACCACCAATTTCTGTGGGCGAGGATGCTATGTCTCTTTTGCTTCAGTTCCGTCTCTATACTTTTGATGGCGCGTCTATTCTTGTCGCAAGAAGAACCAATACTATGGAACCACCTGATGCCTTTTGCATCATCCACGACGCCCTTGTCTTCCTCATCATTGAATCGAAAGTTACTGCAACCAGAGCAAGAGATGCCTGACATAAATTCGGATCCACTATTGTCCATCATGCCTTGGCAAATCCTTGGGAAGGACAATAATTCAAAACGCAGAAGAAAAAAATTGCAGAAAGGCAGCAATACGTGAAAACCATATGAGTTCTCTTGGGGGAATAGCGTGGCAATTCAGACATGCAGTCCTGTTGTTCCTCTTTTTGGAATGGAGTGGATTTACTCTGGACACAGTTGCAGCGATATGAAGGATACATCGGGATCTACTTCTCTAGTATGCTTTGTAATCAAACATTACATCGTAATACTCGTATGTACCATTCCTTCCTTCCATAAGCTTCCCAACGATGGAAGCTCAATCCTTTTTTGCAAAGGATCCACAAAGTCGTCTTGGTTATCTTGCTGCCGCGCCAATTCTTTGGCATTTGCGTTGCAGATCAACAACACTCGTGTGATTCTCTCCAAGATTTTGGCGCAACATCACGATAGCTAGTTGGAATGAAGCAACGGCTTGGTTTTGCTCCCCTTCATTCTCCATATGATCTCCAAATTCCCCTAATATCAGTCCAGCGTCTGCATCGCTAAATCCATGTGTCTTCAACTGGATCTCAATGCCCTTTTGATATTGAACTATGGCTTCATTGTTGTTCCCTTGGAGTTCGAAGACAGTAGCAATGGAGTGATACGTTGTTGCAGTTGAGGAGTGTTCCGGTCCAAGTGTCTTCAAGTTAATCTCAAGCGCCCTTTGATAATGTTCCATTGCGGCATCGTACTTGCCTTGAGCTTTCAAGACGGATCCAATATTATGATATGTTGTTGCAGTTGAGGAGTGCTCCGTTCCAAGTGTCTTCAAATCGATCTCAAGCGCCCTTTGGTATTGTTCCATTGCGGCATCGTACTTGCCTTGAGCTTTCAAGACGGATCCAATATTATTATATGTTGTTGCAGTTGAGGAGTGCTCCGTTCCAAGTGTCTTCAATTGGATCTCAAGCGCCCTTTGATAATGTTCCGTTGCGGCATCGTACTTGCCTTGAGCTTTCAAGACACATCCAATATTATTATATGTTGTTGCAGTTGAGGAGTGCTCCGTTCCAAGTGTCTTCAATTGGATCTCAAGCGCCCTTTGATAATGTTCCATTGCGGCATCGTACTTGAGTTTTCAAGACACCTCCAATATTATGATATGTTGTTGCAGTTGAGGAGTGTTCCGTTCCAAGTGTCTTCAATTGGATCTCAAGCGCCCTTTGGTAATGTTCCATTGCGGCATCGTACTTGCCTTGAGCTTCCAAGACAGAACCAATATTATGATATGTTGTTGCAGTTGAGGAGTGTTCCGGCCCAAGTGTCTTCAATTTTATCTCAAGTGCCCTTTGGTATTGTTCCGTTGCGGCATCGTACTTGCCTTGAGCTTCCAAGACACCTCCAATATTATGATATGTTGCTGCAGTTGAGGAGTGTTCCGGTCCAAGTGTCTTCAATTTTATCTCAAGCGCCCTTTGGTAATGTTCCATTGCTGCATCGTACTTGCCTTGAGCTTTCAAGACAGAACCAATATTATGATATGTTGTTGCAGTTGAGGAGTGTTCCGTTCCAAGTGTCTTCAATTTTATCTCAAGCGCCCTTTGGTATTGTTCCGTTGCGGCATCGTACTTGCCTTGAGCTTCCAAGACAGATCCAATACTACGATATGTTATTGCAGTTGAGGAGTGTTCCGGCCCAAGTGTCTTCAATTGAATCTCAAGCGCCCTTTGGTATTGTTCCATTGCGGCATCGTACTTGCCTTGAGCTTTCAAGACATCTCCAATATTATGATATGTTGATGCAGTTGTGGAGTGTTCCCGCCCAAGTGTCTTCAATACGATCTCAAGTGCCGTTTGATATTGTTCCATTGCTGCATCGTACTTGCCTTGAGCTTTCAAGACAGAACCAATATTATGATATGTTGTTGCCATTTGCTGATGATCATCACATTGAAAGACTTTCTTCTCAATTTCCAGCCTGAGTTGAAAAAGTTCCATGGCTTCGTCAAAGCTTCCTTCTTCATGAAGAAGGTGCAATGCAATATCGTTGTATTTTAAAGCCACTTCTTGGTTCATCAAACCCTTTTCTTGCAATTCTAGATCGAGTTCATTCCAAAGACGGCTTCGTTCTTGATCAAATTTGTTATTTGCAATCTTGTTATGGATCTTAGCCACCTCTGGGTCCATCAAAT